TCAATCTCAATGTGCTTCGTGCGTTCGTGGAAAACCGGATTAGCAGCAATGTGAAGTGCTGCCGTGCTGTCACACCGGACCGTCATGGGGTTCTTATGCTCAACCCCTAAACACCGCAATACATTCTTCAACCACTTCAACTCACATGTAAGGACAGCCAAAGCTCTATACTCTGCTTCAGCAGACGAGCGAGCCACCGTCGACTGCTTCTTTGTTTTCCATGAAACAGGCGAGTCTCCAAGCTGCACAAACCACCCTATCAGTGACCGCCTCGTCAAAGGACATGCTGCCCAGTCCGAATCACACCATCCTGTGAGTTGAAGACTACTCTCTGCTGACAGAAAAATGCCCTGACCCGGACATCCTTTCAAATAACAAACAACTCTAAGGGCCGCAGACCACTGATCCTCCCTTGGTTCTTTCAAAAATTGTGCTAAAGTATGGACGGCGTAAGAAAGTTCTGGTCGTGTAACGGAGAGATAGACCAACCTTCCTACCAACCGTCGATATGGCTCTGGTGATTGCCAAGTATAACAAGTCTGGCCTTATATCTCTCCACACTTCCATCAGATTTGCGCTTGATCTTATATACCCATTTGCAACCAAGGGGCTTTTTATGGCGTGGAGGAGAGACAAGAGACCACGTTCCATTAGCCTCTAGTGCATCAATCTCCTCTCTCATAGCCTTCCTCCATCGTTCATCCTGAAACGCCTTCTTGAAACTTGTGGGCTCCACTCCAGCATCAAGTGCGCTGAGAAAACACTTGTGTCTGTCAGAGAACTTCTCGTGCGTGACATACGAAGCAAGAGGATATTTGCATTTTTCACCAACATGTGAACCAGCTACATGGGTAACATAATCGGCAAGGCGTACATTTGGACGTTTCTCACGCTGACCACGTCCCAAGTTCTCCACTGTCTGCTGAGAAGAGGACGGTCGACCGCCGTCCTTGAAACGGTCCACGGGGTCGACCGTCTGAAGCGGTTCCAGATCGCTAACTTTCTGCCTCGGAGACGGTCGACCGTCTTCCACATCACGGTCGACCGTTTGATCATCTCTCAAAGAAACGTCATTCTGCCTCTCGGACGGTCGACCGTGGATATCAGAACGGTCCACCTGGTCGACCGTTTGGTCATCTCTTAGGAACCCGTCATTCTGCCTTTCGGACGGTCGACCGTGGACATCAGAACGGTCCATCAGATCGACCGTCTGTAGCCGGTCTGCTCTGCTGCTTTCCTCCAGTCGACCGTCCCTCCCCGAACGGTCCATCTGTTCTTCCGTCCGCAGTTCTTCATCTTCGTCATAAAAGATAACCTCATTTGTACTTCCTGTATCATGAGATGCACCTGTAGGAGTCAAGAAAGGAAAAATATCTTCACAGAACACAACATCCCGGGACACCTTAATTTCCCCAGTGTCCGGGTAGTAAATACGCCAACCCTTCTTCCCTTGTGGATATCCGACAAATATCCCAGGATTTCTTCTTGGTGCGAATTTATCTCCATTCCTCTTCAAGTTATGTGCATAACATCTGCATCCAAAAACACGAATATGAGCCAAAGAGGGTGGCTTTTCATAGATCTTCTCGTATGGTGTGACCCCCCCTAGCAAAGACGAGGGTGTGCGATTGATCAGATGTGCGGCAGTTTGTATACATTCTCCCCAGAACTCAATCGGAAGACCAGCCTGAAACCTCAAAGCTCTACCCACATTCAAAATGTGTCGGTGCTTGCGTTCTACTCTCCCATTCTGTTGTGGAGTAGACACACAAGACGTCTCATGAATAATTCCTTGCTCCCGGAAATATTCGTTTAGACATTCAAATTCTGTACCATTATCACTGCGAACACACTTTATTTTCTT